GAATCTTGAGTTTGGCTGTGAATGGGAATCTAACTGTTCTCCGTTTCTGCTGAAGCCTTCCAATAACATTACATTTCCATTAGAGAAGTCAGATACAACAACGTGGTTTTCATAAAGAAGTAACAAAAACATATAATGACCAGTTGGTTGTTTAATAATTTATATTTCTTGCCTGGCCATTATAAAGATTAAGCCAAGCCAAAAATTCAGAAAATATCGACTAAGGTAAAAGGAATATTTTTAGTGAAGTGTTACAAACAGCTCCCTGATTTTGAATGACAACTACTGATTGTTTTCTTGTTCTTCATTTATAATCAAGAAAGCCTTCATCACCTTTTTCTGTTACCCTGTGATTGGCATAAAAATATTATTGATTGAAAGGATGAATTTAAGGAATAAGGGAACCATATAGCATGGGTAAGAAGGGCCAGACTTAAATCATATACTTGTTGTAGAAAAACTCTCCATCCAAAGGCAGGGACAAATATTTAACTTTTGCAAGCTTGGTAACTGTGATGTGGACAATTAGTACCCCTTCCTTCTCCTTTTCACATGAGTTTTTCTTCTTTAGTCATATGAATTGTCAGTATCCATTTGATAAATAAGCCTTGTCTTTGTTGTTTTGTTTTGTTTTGTTTGTGTAAAAGGAAGGGGCTATTCTCACATTTCAGATAACAGTATTTAAACTTAACAAGGTAAAAGGGGAGTACTGGTATGGAGTTGTAAGATAAGCACTCCACCAAGGTAGCTGTGAACCTCATGGTCTGTGGTTCAAACTCACCAGCCACTCCTTGGAAACCCTATACAGGGTCACTATGGGTCAGAACCAACTCGACAGCATTTAACAACAACAACAAAGTAAAAGGACACAAAGCTGCCAGTAATCTTTCTACGACGCATCTCCAATCAATTGCTACCCTGATTAAGTCTAATGTCTCTTTACCTACATACCTAATAGAGTAAAATTATACCTCTGGAATTCAAGTGTCTTCTTATGTTTTATTCCATTTTACCCCTATATGTAAGGAGTGCTGGTAGCGTAGTGGTTACGAATCGGGTTGCGAACCGCAAGGTCAGCAGTTCGAAACAACCAGCTGTTCCACAGGAGAAAGATGAGGCTTTCTGCTCCCGTAAAGATTTATAGCCTCGGAAACCCTATGCAGGGTCACTATGAGTCAGAACTGACTCCACGGCACATAACAACAACAACAACAACAACCCCTATATGTACAGTGCTTTGGGGTGTGTGGTTGTTAATCCTGGCTGTACATCAGAATCACCTAGGAAGCTTTAAAAAAAAGAAAACAGTGTCTCTGGGGATGAAGTTCAGGCATTAGTGTGTTTATTTTTGTCTGCTTGTTTGTTTTGTTTTCCTTTTAAACTACTTTGCTTATCATTTGTGTAAAACAGTAACCATTGTATTATGCTCCCCAATTCCTAGCATTGATGGCATGTCGCTGGTCTATGATGTGTATAGGCTAGAACAACCCAAATGGCTAAGGACATTTCACACAAGCTGGGATAGTCAAAGGATAGATTCAGTTGGACCTGTCAGCCAGGGTGTTTACATAAATCTTTCCACATAATTTGGGCTTGCTCAAATTGTGGTGGCTCAAGGTGCTCATAGTTCCTATGAGGACACACAGAGCTCCAGGAAGAAATATTTCATTGAAAACAGCGGAACTGCAACGTCTTTTATGCACCTAGACTCAGAAGGCACGTAGTAACACTTGTGCTGTGTTTTATTGATTGTGCTGTGTTTTGCAGATTTAAGGAAACGAGACCCACCTCTTTAAAAAGATCAATGAATTTATGGCCATCTTTTTAAATTGCTACCCACCCTAGGGAGCGCTCTGTAGGATAAGCACTGGACTGCGACTCACCAACTGCTCCTCAGGAGAAAGATAAGGCATTCTGCTTTTATCCTCACGATTGACAGCCTCGGAAACCCTATACAAGATTACTATGAGTCAGAATCTACTCCATAGCACTTAACGACAATAACACCTCGGTGATTCTAATGCACGGCTAGAGTTTAGACTACTGGTTTTATTTGTGTCAAACATTGATCTGTGGAGTAGGACTCAGACTTGAAAGAGGTGAATGAGGGTGCAAAATGTATGAAGGGTCCTGCACGTGCAGGGTAGATGGCAGACCCTGATAATGAATGCCTCTGAGCTTTTTGTACCTTAGGTTTCTCACTTACCTGACCCTATTCCTGGCCCAGCTCCAGTGACTGTCCATGAGTATTCTGGGACACTCAGACTTGGGGTTCACACTGTGATATTCTGATTCACTAAGCCTAGGGTGGGGAGTCCTGGTGTGGTGCCTCAGGATAAGCACTGACTAGACTGCTAACCACAAGGTGGGAGGTTCAAACCCACCAAGTATTCACTGGAAACCCTATACGTGGTTGCTATGATTCAGAACTGACTTGATGGCTTATTAACAACAACAACAAGCCAAGGGTGGGGACCAGGACTCTGTATGTTCACAGAGCTTTCCAGGGACCAAATATGATTCTTTTGTTTCTACTGCTGTGCTTTCTCTCCAGTCTGGAATTTTTTTCCACTTCTATTTCTGTTAACTAAGGAGCTCTGGTAGCGTAGTCATTACGAGTCGGGCTGCTAACCTCTAGGTCAGCAGTTCGAAACTACCAGAGGTTACGCAGGAGAAAGATGAGGCTTTTTGCTCTCATAAAGATTTACAGTCTCAGGAAACCCTATACAGGGTCACTATGAGTCAGAATCAACTCCACGGCACATAACCACCACCACCACAACCATTTCTATCAACTATAAACTCTCTAGGAAACCTGGCGTGATGCTATAGGATAAGTACTAGACTGCTAACCACAAGGTCTGCAGTTCAAGCCCACCAGCTGCTCCTCAGAAACCCTATGTAGGATAGCTATGAATCCGAACAGATTCAACTGGCACTTAACAACAACAACATGGACTATTTTAAAAAGGCCTGGTGATCTTCTTTGTTTGCTGAAAAACAGCCAAAGAAATCCTATGGATCAATTGAATAAAGCCTATGTAATCAATTGTAGGTTGGCAGAAGACCAGCAACTTTTACTTCCATTGTGCATAAGGTCACCTTGAGTGGGGAGTGGTGCACTCCATAGCAGCTAACAACATTGTGGACTATACTTTTAAGAACCACTTAAATACCACTTCTTTCATTGTAAATTGTCCCTCATAGGAATCCACAGCAATTTTTACCTGCCTTAAGGTTCTCATGGAGTCTTGGTGTGGTACTATAGGATACAAACTGGACTGCTAACTGAAAGGTAGTCATTCAAACACACTAGCTGCTCCTCAGAAACCCTATGTTGTTGTTAAGCGCCTTCAAGTCAGTGCTGACTCATAGCGACACTGTATAGAACTTCCAAGGAGCCACTGGTGGTTTTGAACCACCAACCTTGCAGTTCAAAGCAAGCTTGAGGTACAGTGCTTGTCCTATAGTGCCATACCAGGACTCCTATTCAGGAGTATAGCAGTGAGTCAGAATCATCTCACCGGCACTTAACAGTAAGGTGCTCAGAGTTTCTCCTGTATTCTGGTTGTTTCTGGACTTCTGTAAAAAGAACAAATTTTTTCTTAACAAAACAAAAACAAATCCACTGGCATCCAGTCGATTCCAATCATAGCGATCCTATACAGTGTCTCCAAGACTGTAAATCTTCAAGGAAGTGAACAGTCTCATCTTTTTCTCATGACTGGAGGTTGGGTTTGAACTGTTCATGTTGCAGTTAGCAGCCTAACGCCTAACCCATAGCACCACCAGGGATACTTTAGATAGAGGCTCAATAAACAGGACACATGGTTCTAACTCACCAACTGTTCCTTGGAAACTCTATACAGGGTATCTACGATTGAGAACTGACTTGACACACTTAACACCAACAAATCTATAATAAGTGTGGCCAAACTCCTTTTTTTCCCCCTCTCCTTAACAACAGTTGTGGAAGCCCTGAAGTATTCAGGGACTCCTGCCTTAATTCTTAAACATAAACAGAGACTTCATCACTATTGTGATTTTGATTTTTGGAAGACTGTTGACATTTTTGGGTAATCCCAAAAATGATTTTCCTGAAACGAACGTTTTTGATAACTCTGTGTTAATAGCATTGTCACCTTCAAGCCTCTGAGGTAAGTACTATCACTGTGACCATTAATAAAATATAGGTAGGATTCACACCTAGGGCTGGCGGACTCCAAAACCAGAATTTCTTAAGGCCTACGCTTAATTGTCCCTCATTGCTCAGTGCTATCCAAGAACAGTCTTCAAGTAGGCATAAAGGTCTACCAGTGAAAAGCAAAAGCCCTTCAATCCTTCTGGATTCCTATGACGCCTTTACGAGTCCTAGTGTGGCGCTGTAGGATAGGCAATGGATCGATAACCATGAGGTCGATGGTTCGAACTTACCAGTCGCTCCTTGGAAACACTATACAGGATCGCTATAAGTAGGAACCGAATCAGTGGCACTTAACAACAACAACATGAAGGCTTCCACCATGGGGTTCCTTACTTCCGCTTTGGCTGCTCAGGACAAACGCCCTTCCATTTGTTTCCATCTTCTCTGTAGAAACTACCTCCTCTCTTTCTGACTGGTGGGGCAGTGGATGCATAGGTTTGGGTCCCCTGGGTTATCTCCCGCAGTAGCCAATGACCTAGACCAGGGCAGAGTCGACTCCCCGTAACAGGAGCTGCGCGTTGCTAAGTGCAGGGATGAGATGGATCAGGCGCTGTCAGCAAAGGGAAGGAGGAGGCGAGAGTTAGAGCGGGTGGGAGCGCGGGGGCTGGAGGAAGGAAAGGAGGGGAGCCCGAGCCCGCGCAGAAAGGAGGCGCGCGTGAGCGAACACCCACTCGGATCCCGAGCCTAGGAGGCGCGCGGGGCTCAGTGCTGCCAGCAGAGCTATAGCCGCGCCCGTGCCTGAGTAGCCTCGTCTAGCCAGCCAGGCTCCTACAGCTGACCAGCCAGACTCCAGAGAATGGAGGACTCCCAGGAGACGTCGCCTTCCTCCAACAACTCCTCAGAAGAGCTCAGTTCTGCCCTGCAGCTGTCCAAGGGCATGTCCATCTTCCTCGACGTAAGTAGAGATGGAAGGAGTTGGGTTGCTAGATCCCTAGCACCGTCACAGGTCCTCTTCCCTTAGTGTGGGAGCGGGAGGTAGAAGACAGCTGGGTTTTGCATGAGTAAGAACGACCTCCTATTCCCCTCCTGCACTCCTCACACCCAAAACAGAAAACAAAAACAAAAACAAAACAAAAACCCCATAGAAGTAAATGCTAAAGAAAGACAGACACTGAACTTGTTAAAAGGGCTGTCCCAGACCCAAAGCTTGGGACTTATGAACCCTTAACGAAATTCCAAAAGTTAAATGAACTAACAGCCTGGGTTTAGATAGAAACTGGATTATTGTAAATAAAACAGTCTACATTTGGCTGAATAGGATGGTTTAAGGGGGCTATGGGAGAGAAGGCATTGTCTCATCTCATATTTAATGTGCCCGGTGTGCAAACCCAGCGTCACTGCTGCTCCAAGGTGACAAGGGAATAGTAGAGGTTAAGATGACCCTCACCATCCTCCCCTCTCAGAAAAAAAATCACCACATTTCTTTTTCTTTTTCACTGCTGTGGCTAAGATCTTTTTCATGATGATTCTTTTTTTTCAATGACACTTCCTATTTTTTCCTTTTTGCTTCCTGCTGTTCTCCCCTCTTCCACCCCAAGTTGTAATTACTATTATTATCTTCATCAATTCCTGCTTTTGGATTAGACATCTTCCCGTTGGTTCTATCCCTTGCTTTTAGTATTGACTCCTCCCTCCATTTCTCTGATACAATGGTCTTTCTTTATGTTGCGTGCTATTTTTATGCCCTCATGCTGTGGTTTTTACCTTTATAGTAGTTTATTTCTTATTTATTTCTCAATTTTGCTTCTCTCTCTCTTTCTGCTGTTTGAATACTCTATGGTTTTCACCGTGTCGACAGCTCTTTTTTCTGCCTTTGGGTTGGTTCCTGGTTTTCCTACCCCTGAGTTGCCCACAGGGATTCTGGGTCTCCAAGCCTCTCACTCATCACACTCACACTGGTCTGCAGGTTGGCTCTGGTTCAGCAGGGGACAATTCTGGCCTATTGTTTAGGCATGGTAGAAAATGGGCTAAGGGCATAGAGGAGGGCTATGTGCTGCTTCCATTATCTTTTTCTGAGTTGTCATTTCTTATTAACATTGAAATGAGTGGGTGACAGGGCAGAGGCCAAGCACATTTTATTTGTGGGAGGGATGAAAATATGAGAACATCAACTTATTAGTATGATCATAATAAGGCAAAGATCATGAAGTTATTGAGAGAGAAGACAGAAGCCTTTGCAAATTTATTTTAAATGCATGACCTGGGCTTTATTTATTTGGGAGAAAATCTATCAATAATTTATGCTAGTCTGTAGCAAACGATATGCTACATATCATACACAGCAAATGATATGCTGCCACTGAGGCAATTCCAACTCATAGCAACCTTGTACATAACATGACGAAACATTACCTGGTCCTGCACCAACCGCACGATTGTGGAGCTTGAACCCATGCTGCTGCCACAGTGCCAATAAATCTTGCTGGGGGTCTTTCTCTTTCTGCTGAACCTCCACTTTACCAAACATAATGTCCTTCTGCAGGGACATGTCCAAAGTAAGAGAAACAAAGTTTTTCCATTCTGGTTTCTAAAGAGCATTCTGGCTGTATTTCATTCGACACAAATTTATTTGTTTGTTCTTCTGGCAGTCCATGGTACTTTTAGTATTCTTCTCTAACACTATAACTCAACTGCATCAATTCTTCTACAACCTTCCTTATTCACCATCCAACTTTTACATGTATATGAGGCTGTTAAAATACCATGGCTTGGGTCAAGTGCACCTTAGTCCTCACATTGACATCTTTACTTTTGAACACTTTCAAGAGGTCTGTATAGCAGATCTCTTGGAAGCCTTCTTTTTTACCCCACCTCATGTTCCAATCAAGGATTCAGGCATTCCTTTCTGGCCATCTTCTTTCCACTAAAATATTCCCATTCATTCACTAAGTGGTGGTGGTGGGTAGTCTGGTTCTGACTCATAGTGACCCTGTATAAGGTTTCTGAGGCTGTAAATTTTTACGGGAGCAGATAGTCTCATCTTTCTGCCACAGAACAGCTGGTAGTTTCGAACTGCTGACCTTGAGGTTAGCAGCCCAATTTTATACCAGAGCTCTATGGTGCTGTTGTTGTTAAGTTCTGTTGAGTTGGTTCAGACTCATAGTGATCCTGTATAGGATTTTTGAGGAGTGGCTGGTGAGCTTGAACCACTGTCATTGTGGTGCAAAACAACCTTGCAGACCAGTACTCTAAGTTGTTGTTAAGTGCAGTTGAGTCAGTTCCGACCCATAGAGACCCTATATAGGGTTCCTGAGGATTGGTGAACTTGAATCACCAAGCTTGTGATTCAAACCAACTTTGCAATCCAGCGCATTAACCCACAGCGCCACACCAGTGCTTTAAGTTGTTGTTGTTAAGTGCCGTCGAGTCAATTTCGACCCATAGCGACCCTGTATAGGGTTTCCAAGGAGCAGCTGGTGAGCCTGAACCACAAACCTTGCAGTTCAAATGACTTTGCAGTCTGATGCATTAGCCCAGAGCACCACACCAGGACTCCATAGCTTTAAGTTGTTGTTGTTGTTAGGTGCCATCGAGTCGGTACCAACCCATCGTGACCTTATGCACAGCAGAGTGAAACACTGCCAGATCCTGGGCCAACATCACTATTGTTGCCATGCTTGAGTCCATTGATGCTGCCACTTGGCCAATCCATCTCTTTGGGGGTCTTCCTCTTTTCCTCTGATCCTCCACCTTACCAAACATGATATCTTTCTCCAGTGACTGCTGCCTCCTGACAATATGTCCAAAGTATGTATGAGAGATGAAGTTTAGCCATCTTGGCCTCCAAGGAGCACTCTGGCTGCACTTCTTCCAAAACGGATCTATTGGTGCTTTTGGCAGCCCATGGCACTTTCAACATTCTCCTCCAATACTGTAACCCAAAGGCGTCAATTCTTCTATGGTCTTCTGTAAAATAACTTCTTCATGAGCACTCAATTTTGTGGGTTTATGTGAACCAGATGATGTGATTGGTGCTAATGGTTTAACTGGCTGATAGCATTCCTTCACTTCCTACCATTCAGGATCATAAAGTCCTTGAGGTTCTAAGCTGGGAGAAGGTACCTCAGCATAGCTGTGAAGGAAATCTTCAGAAACAGGAGAAACTCCCGGCCCCTGAAATCATGTTAGTAATTCAGCTGATGGCTAAACTTTAATCAAGTTGGTTTGTAGAAGGCAAGAGGGGCCTCACTTCATTCTAAGCTAATCTTCACTGGTCCCTCAAGGATATTAAGTGCTTGATAAGTCATTCCATGATTTGCTGGGGGTTTTGTTGTTGTTGTTTTTTAAGGAGTTAACAAGTCCAGGTGATGGACTGGGAATTAATGGACCAAAGCTATATAGGTGGAAAATCATTCTCCCAGACTCATACCTCAATCTTGGCTAATGTGTTCAAACTACTGCTTTTGAAAGAGAGAGGGAAGGAGAATCTAAATCCTCTTTGTTATTAAACATGCACAATTGTTTCCAAGTTCTTTAAGTAAATAATATCAGGTCCTGATCTAAAGAAGTTTAGAGTCTATGAATAGGATACACCTGCTTTCTATTATTTCTAGATATATAAATATAAAAATCTAAAACTGATTTCACATGAGAGGTTTTGACATGCTTGTTTACCAGTAAAATGCTAGAGTCTACAAAAAATAACTGCCATTGGATTTCAACTCAGATTTTGTTTACAGTTTTCCTTGAGATATTTTGTGAAAAAATCTAACAGTCTGGTGAAATATGTGACTAGAAAAAGGATTTGTTACTTACGGATTTTTGAATTATTCATTTCTGGATCATACTGCTTTTAGAAAAATAAAATGTGAAATATAAATTCATCATTTTGTTTGATTAGTTTTCAGATATTTTACTAGCTTTTTAGAGAGGGATTGCTTTTTGAATTCTATGTAGGCTATAATATATAGATGATAGGCTTTTTCTATTTCAAAGTGAAACAGAAATGAAACTGATTGTGGACTTCTGCATCACACAGAATAATTTCCAAATAAAAACAAAATTTTTATTTCAAATATTTACATTCTAGTACCATTGGAATAATAAATTATCTAACAAATTACTTTAACTGCTTTTGAGAAAATTGCATGATGACATGACTAGACATGTTCAGCTGGTTGGATACAAAAGACAGATGTTTATCAGGAAAGTCAGAAAGAGATTTCCCTCAACCGTTGGTTTTATGCTTGTTTTTTCATACTCCAAATAAAAAATAATAATGAGTATGATATTTACCAAGATTGTTGCATTAAATAAGAGTCCATAGAAAGAAGACAGAAAAGTAAATGTATTATATAAGTTTGGAATGTTATTTTTATACCAATGTTCTATGTTGAATGTATAAATAACTGTAGCAGAATCTATAAACTATAAGGACTGTTTCTTTATGAATTTGGTTCATGTGATTTTCTCTCTAAAATATGATAAAATTAAGTACTAGTGTGTCATAACTATTCTTAACATGTCTCAGGACTTTCAAACCCCAGCACCGGAATCAACCTAAGCCAGTACACTGAGGCTGGTGTTGTATGTTTTCAGAGAAAATCCCTACTTTACAAGGGAAAAGGACTCACTTGGGTCCATCCAGTGTGTGGCTCCACTAAAGAACCAGGCAGAAGACACTTTACAGATCAGTACACTGTCTTCTCCCAGGCTGCTTCATTCGAGATCAGATAATAAACTATTTATAAGATTAGATCTTATATCTTGTGGACCATCTTTTGAACCATTAATCAACACAGCTACTGTGCAAAGAAACAAAAATAAACTTTCATTCATCTCCAAAAGGAAAATAAATCCCAAGTGAAGTTAGTTGCAGCCCTATCTTCACTGGATGCTGATCTTTCCCCTAGCAGTTTTCCTTTTATTCTTAACTGGGGGCATGGGGGAGAGAGG